ACAAGATCTATGGTGGGATTACCTTGATTCTTTCTAGTGTTCTTCTTTCCGTATTGTTGAGAGTCCTTTAAACCACTGTGGGTATATATGTTTTTAATATTGTGCTGATGACACTAATGTTTTGGTTCTATTTGTGCGTTTACCTTTTAGGAAAAAGCGGCTGGATGAAATATGTCTTGAAAAATATCAGCATTATAGTAGATCTGTTATCCAGTCATGGATTTTGCAAGGTACTAATGTCAGTTTTTATTACCATTGTTAGTATATACTATGTCATTGCTCAGTCAAGCAGCTCACCTGGGCTATACTAATTACTTGAATTTAAATCGAGGAGCAACAAAATATAGCAGTTATCTAAAATCAAAGGAATTTACATTATTTATATGAAAAGAGTTGAACCAATTACTTTTCTTTATTGTTATCTTCCCTACTTTTATCTTCTGTCTCTCCTTTTGGTATTTTCTTCTGTCATAATATATTAATTTGATGATAAACGATTGTGCAGCATTACCTCTTCTTTTGTTGTTGAGTTTGCAATGCTAGCTTATATTAGCATGTGGTAGTAATGATATCATCTTTTGTGAGGTTTGCACTGAGAGCTGAAAAGCATTTCTTTTGTTAACTTTCCTTCAGCTGTTGGAGAAGGTCAGATATCATGATCTTGCATTCTAGCCTCTGGATAAATAAAATATCTTTATAATTTTATCTGAATAACGTTCTAGGATCTTACATAAGTTGATTTGTATGCTGTCATGCTGTGCCTAAAAGAATAATTTTAATTGAACTTCTGCTTTATGAAATTTATCAAATTAGAGTAGAATCAAGTTTGAACCTCTTTAAAACTTCAGGTCAAATATAATGCAACTTAAAAAAGGGTACTGCAGTGCAACTAATATACTTCAGAACCTTGTTCATTTTCTGTCTTTCTTTTTTGTGCTATCTATCATTCATTTACTAAGTACGCTCAAATGTATGTGAATATTTATTTTGGCAATTGAGTGATTTGTCATTTAGACTCTCTTTCTCCTTGTTCATGTGAGAAAACACAATATATTATTAAAACAATGTTCATAAGTTAATAACATATGGGATGCAGGCAAAGTATATGTGGATGGGAAGGTGATAAATAAAGCTGGTACCCCTGTGCCTGCAAAAGCTGTTGTGGAGATAATAGCCGATGTTCCCAAATATGTATGTAGGTGAAGACATTAAGCTCTATTTACTTGAAATAATATCTCAACTGCAATTGTGGTGAAATTGTTTTGTTGTTTGGCTTTTTTCTATCAACATAGAGCTGGACATAAGTTGGAAGCTGCCATTGAACAGCTTGGTGTCGATGTTACTGGCAAAGTAGCCCTTGATTCTGGGCTGTCAACAGGAGGATTTACTGACTGCTTACTTCAGTATGGTGCATCACATGTTTATGGAGTTGACGTAGGTTATGGACAGGTAACTTATAATTCATTTTCATTTTCTATAAGCTTCTTAATTACCAACTACATATCTCCGCTTTCATTGCATATCAATAATGCAAAGTGATTCTCTGCTGTCAATGGCTGTTAACTTAATTAGGTAGCTGATAAAATTCGAAGAGATGAACGGGTATCAGTGATAGAGCGGACAAATTTAAGATATCTTGCTGAACTCCCACAAAATGTTGATTTGGTGACTTTGGACCTTTCATTCATCTCTATTCTCTTGGTAAGCTCTGAAATCAGGTCAAACATAATTCTACACTCCTATTTCAGATTAAATGAAAAGTTTATTATCATGATCTTGTTTCCTATTTCTCTGGATTATTAAGTGGTAGGCCAACTTTTGTAAGGAATCAGAGAAGGATAAGGAGAGGAGACATTTTAGATGATTTTCACTGAACTAAGAACTATCTGTTTTATTAGCCGTCGCAGTCCACTAATCGTTCTTATATTCTTTTAATAGGTCATGCCTGCTGTGGTCAATGTCATGAAGGAAAATGCAGCATTAGTGACTTTGGTTAAACCACAATTTGAAGCTCGTAGATCTCAAGTGAGGGTTACAAACTCCTATTTATATAATTTTACTGTTTGTTTTGTTATTTCAGCAATAAGAATGTACATTTAAATATTCTTTACTTGGTTAATACGAATGCAATAAGTTTAGGTAACTTTGCAATATTACAAATGCACCCTTTCATTTTCTTCACTCACATTTTCCTCCTCTCCTTTGGTCTAGATTTATTGAGAGATTGCTTATCCATATTTGGTGAACTTAGTGTGCCCCTCAGATTGTATCAGTTTCATAAGATAAATCTGAGGGATTTGAATAGTAGCAGGGAGATTATAATAATTCTATGTAGGTATCTTTGGTTGGAGTGGAGTGCTGGTGGGCATCTAAAGGGAATATGGTCCCCCCAAGATTGTCACGGGATGGCCTCAATGGTTCTCAGCTAATGGATTTTGTTTGGGATTTCCAATGATATTCGTTTTCAAATAAATTGCTAAGACACACCCTTTTCCAATTTCAAAGCATATTGCCAATGTGATGTTGAGTTGTTCATTTTGCTGCATACAGTGATACATTGCCAAATATTCTTTCGTTAACAGTGATACACTGTGCAAGTGGGATTATACTCATTTTAGTTTTTATATTAAATAATAATCATTGTTGTCCTAGTCTCTACTATATCTAACTTTTGAATATTATTATCTGTTCAGGTAGGAAAAGGAGGGATAGTGAAAGATCCCATTGTCCATCAAGAGGTGATTTTTTTGCTATCTGATCAGATTCTTTGTTCTCTAAATCTAATTAGTTGGAACAGATCTATTTGAAGATAAGTGTGGAACCAAACGGGCAAACACAATGCTTTATAATAAGCCCTTTATTCAATTTATCCCTTCTAACACCATTTAATTCAAATAAGCTAAGTTAAGCTAGACGTCGCTCCTACTATGAGACAGAGTAGTCTGTACATGCGGCAATATCTCTCTATGGGTTTCTGACTTTTATGGTGTTTTTAAGTGAGGCTCTCAAATTGTTCTACAAAGGGATTGAAGATCTCCAAGCTTGAGCTAATATTAATATTTTATCAATTGTTTTGCTTCATATATACTCTTTGGTTTTGTAGGACAACTTCTTGTTCTTTTTCGTATTTGTTACTGTCAAACTCAATACATGCTTCTGTTAAAAAAAAGTATACTGAATACATTAGCCTTGTTAAGTTAAAAATAAAAAATTGGACAAATTGTAACTCTAGGCAAAATCAACTTCTTTTTTTACTTTACCAAACATATTATTGTGATTCATATGTGGGGGATTCTGTTTTTTTATCTATTCTTTTACAGTACTGCTCTATAATAACCTGAAAGAAGGATGCTGACTAAGAAAATTCGAGCAATAAATGAAGTTTAGATCTCTGGTCTGTCTGTTTTGTTATTTGATTTGTGTATTATGAAACTCAAGTCTTAACTCCATTAAGCTCTTCATATATATTCACTGTATATATTACTAATTTGAGATTTGTTTCATGATGATTACAATGTCCAGCAGCAATCTTGGGTGAGGAACACCGCATTAGCTGCAGTGTATACAGCATTAGTAACTACACTTTCTTGTTTCATGATTCTTAATTCTATAAACAACTGAAAAAGGAAAAAGGGAAATGTATAAGAGTGTAGGAGGGCAAAATGTGAGAGCTTATCCGTCTCAATTTATTTATTCATCAGTGTTTGCTCAAACATTTATTTTATAATAATATTAAGTGAATAGATTAAAAACTACTAAAAGTTGATTATATTAGTAGAGCTTTATTTATTGTTGTTTAAATTGTTTTAACACTAATATTTGACATAATGTGAAAGTGGTTGATTTCTGCAATTCAGGTCCTTGAGAGGATTATAAAGGGAGTAGAGAATTTTGGTTTCTGTACTAAAGGTTGGATTGAGTCTCCTCTGAAAGGTGCTGAGGGTAATACAGAATTCCTTGTTCACTTCAACAGAATCCAAAATAAAGGTTCTGAAGATCTACAGTAAATTATATAATTTATACTTAAATGCATTCTTTTAACCTCAGGTAAAGATTGCCATTTTTGGAAGATGTAATATGCAGGTGAGCTGTATTCTTGTATAGTGACTCGTAGTTGTGCCATTGGAAGAAATGGCTGATAATTAATGAATGTGATGGGTAATATAAACATGGTATTTTGACTATGGTAATTCAACTACCAAAGCTGGGTCTGTTGAAGTTCCATATTTTCTTATTTGATGAACACTTGTTTCCTTTTTTATTACCACTTATCTTTATGGATGAGATTAGTGAGTTATGACTTTTCAAGTTATTGAAAATACAAAAGCACATAGAAAACAGTTTGAATTAAATTGAAATTGTTTACCAAAGTTTTTATTGGGAGTTGAATTTCTACCTGACTAGGGAAGCACTGAAATGAAAAACCATTTCATCAACCAAAACTGACTCATCTTACTTTTTTATACGATTCACAGAATTGATCGTCGCAAACTAAGGACGTGTGTGATAAAACTAACTCAAAAGCTAGTTAAAGATTACATATTACAAAACGAAAACTCTAAAATTTACAAGTTAATTGATTGGATTAAAATGACAAAAAGTAACAAGACAAATGAAAGAGATCCTAAAATGGATTAAAAAAAAGGATAAAAGAGATTCAACATGAATTAATGAAAGATGTAAAGCGTGTTAAAGTAAATTAGAAACCTACATAAAAAAACTCACCAAATAAGTTATTTTTACAGCAACCACTATCAAGCGAATCAAATCTACTTAATATATTAAGAGTGAATTCCCTAGCACACTCTTGGATCCAATTGCATAGCCCATTTACCAGTAAAAAGCATGTAAAAATATATATATTTCACAATACATTTAATGCTGGAGAAACATTGCCATATATACAAATGGCAACTGCAGCAGTAATGGTAAGTGGCGTGCAGAAATTTTCTTTATCCTCTTCTCATTTATTTTGCTTTTGTGCAAGCGTGAACAAGTGTCTAAGAATCGTTATAAACTACAGTATTAAGCATTTCCAAAGGAATTTTAAGACCAACTACTTGTCCAATGACCGAGAACCAGGAAACCAGATATTGTTCAATAACAAAACCATTTCTGTTCAAAGTTGAATCACCATCATAGAGGAGCTTCATCCATTCACTCGTCCCACATGGATGTAATTTGTACCATGGCCTGTTCAAATATGGATGTTCCTACAAGATATTCACTGAAACTATTTAACGTATAGTACAGGGGTTAGAAAAAAAATCAAATGACAAGTTATGCAGATTATGGTTACTTTTAAATAAGATGTGGTTAAAAAGTAAATCCGTATTTGCTAACATCAAAACCTCTGGAAGTAATCCTTTATTCCCTTGTGTGTCTTAAAAGTAATCCACAGATTATGGACGCCAAAGTTAATGTCATTTGCAATTGAAGACCAAATTCAATGGCCCTCTACTAATGGAAACTTCATAGACACGTCTCAGATATTAATATAAACAAAAGGCCGGTGGACCAAATAATAATATACTTTTCATATATTATCAACGGACAGAAAATTTTAGTACACCATAATCATGAAAAACTGAGAAAAAATTGACTAAAAAACAGAAGAAAAAGAAAGATGGAAATACATGATTTACCTCATGTGTTATAAATGTCCATTTGGATTCTGATCGTAACTTAGCAGAGTGACCGGGAAGGTCCTTTTCAACTTCATTGAACGGCAATAGTTGCCCATCTACATAATCAAACAGTATCAAATATAAAGTGAATATCATTGATTTCAATAAAAAATTATTTACTGAAATATACGAATCAAGATGTAATAAATGAGATAGTACAATTCAGCATACAGAAAGAAACAGTGTTTTTCATAATTGATGATAAGATCAGAAAATTTAAGAACCTAATTTTAAAATCATCTACACTTAAAAAAAAATTAATGGATAGATAAAGAGACCTCCATATAGTTTACTTCCCTCCATATTTCTACTTAGATTTCTTTTACAACCACTAGATAGTTTAAAATCTGACAACAGCTACACTGTGGTATAACTTGAAGCCATCCAACCTGACAAAGATATATACTCTGCAGGAGTACTGATGTAGCCAGCATTTCTAATATCCACATTTATCAACATAAACATTGAATAGCACCACTGGATCACTTTCAAGTAACAAGTGTTCTAAAATATAACCATAAGGTGGCCTAGGTTTTCAAAATTGTTTTAATGAAAAGCTGAAAAGCATAATTAATAACTATGCATCCAACAAAATGTTTATCATACATAAACTCCATAGTTTGAAATGTAAACATACCACTACGGTATGAACGGAAATACAAGATTGGAACCCTATACGAAGAACTGTAGACGATGTGAAAATCATAATGGTTTACTTCATCCTCTGGACCTAGTAGAGAGGGAAAAATACATCGTTGTAAGTAGTAGTAGGGGTTAGAGTTGAAACTGCCAAGAATAATAGTAACCAAATTTATTGTGAGATTATGAAGTTAGATTCTGAATATCAATTAGGTCATACATACTAAAGTGGCATAATCAAAGGGCTCTTCGCTCTGTGAGTTCTTGCTCTCTTCTTCCCATGTCAGACTACTATTACTCTCTTCTTCCTGAGGCGACAATCACAATCTAGTGAATTACATTTACTCCACCATTAACGATATATTAGTAAACTATATTGCTGGCAGACCTCACTTGATTTGATATGGCACACGTTCTCCAGGGACAAGTATCCTTCCACCTGACAGACAAAAACCAAGAAAGCTGCTAAGAATAAGAGCAATAATGTAGAGTATTTAGAAATCTAATAACAAAATCCCACCTTATGAGAAGCAACCAAATGATGTTTTGAGCTCGGGATCCACTGCCATGGAGGAAAGGAAGGATTGAACATTTTCCACTTCTCAGAAAATGTACGAGCAGAAAGGTAAAAATCACTTGAAGATAGAGTCCCATCCCAAGGGATTATGTCCTTAACAGCACCTTTTAAGTCCATATCTACAAAAAGGAAACGTATTTCTCATGATCAAATATACATTAGCAGCACTATGTTTTTCTTTTTTTGCATAGGTGGGGCAGGGGGACAACAGAAAACCGAAGCTGAGATGATCTGTATTTCTTTAATTATCAGTTTTTGTTTCCATATTACTGCAAGAAATACTCTCTGTTACGCATAAGGTCAGATGTTTCACCAACAAGAAATTTTAAAACATATCATAAATAAACATTTTAGACAATCAACATCTGAAAGCAAACAATCCTCAGTTCCAAGGGAATATTTTCAGACATCTGTGTCCCAATCTGGAAATGTTTGTATTCAGTGCAAAAGTTATAATTCCCAGATGATGTATAGAATATCTGCAACCCAATCTAAACCTTGGTCTGCCTCTACACAGCACAAACATTGGCCCCACTTAGAACTAACCAATTGGGGCAAAGGATCAAACAGGAGTCAACTGCCTAAGTATATTTAGGGCATGGGCACAGTTAAATTCATGCAACAAAGGACCTCCCCACCTGACAGATTCTAACTGTATCTAATTAAACAGTCCAAATCCAATTGTCTAACTAACTGTGAACCGGTTTCTCTTTATTCTTAGGGAACTATTATATCTTGGAAATACCGCATATTCGATTCCTCGTGAAATTATCCCTTTCCAATGGTTTATGATGAACGCAACCTTAAGAAGCAACAATACTCGGAATTTGGATCTTACATGGACAAGCAGGACAGTAACATATACATTGATGTCTCAAAACAAGTTGAACAATCCACACAAATCATAACAGCAATGAAACTCATTAACAACAATGAAGAAAACAAGACAATAAAAAAAAAAAAAAACTTAGCTACAAAAAGAAATCAAACATGATTATTGAATCATCTCATACAATCAGATGGTAACGATATGACTAGTGCATAATGGTTGCAATTAACCAACAAATACCTCTCCTATGACAAATCCTAGGGTTGCAATGAACAAGGGTGAGTGAAATCGTGTTTACACAACGACAAAGTGACTCATTAAGCAACGATGGACACGTTTTCGTTCGTTCAATCAGAAATGCGCAGCCTTAAAACACAGTCGTTTCGTATTAACTGGATAGAATTTCCGTTTTATACGAATTCTAAAATAAATAATATTTTACTTTATGACGAAACATTAAATTTTTTTTTTCGAATACATCATGAAATTAATTATTTCAATTTAAAATAATTTCAATAAGTAATTATTAAAAAATGGGATAGATCGTGACTTCATTAATTATTAGGGAATTTAATGGATTTTTTAATATCATAATTTTCTAGGGATGGCTTTTACTAATTTCAGATTTTACGAAATGTTTCTCTCATAAATCATCTTAACTAATCATAAAATAAAATACTTTTAATTGCATAATTTTTTTTAAGGAATGTAAATATAGTTGATTTTTAATTTATACGAATTAGTTGTGATCATTTACACAAAGGACAATTACTAGTTGATGATAGTGTTCATGATACATATATAAATTATTGATAATTATTTTTAAATTTAATTTATAATTATAATTTTTTTTAATTATTTACAAATATTATAATTGAGAAGGAAAATTATCATGAGTATTGAATGAGGTATATCACTAACAACTTACAATAGTTAATAGGGAGTAGTTATGAACATCCATGGCTCACTCATGAATCATTATTAACTCTTAATACTAATCATGAACAAGATTAGTAGAGATTAGGGCACTACACCAAGAAGTTAAACAAGTATTAATGCAGCAACTACAAGCTTATTTGAAACAAATCTAAGGTATGGATTTTCACCACCCTAAAATAAAACTAAACCTAAAAGCTTCTTTATTGTGGAAACACATGGATCTAGAAACATAAGCTATGTAATGCAGCAAAAACGTTCATATCTTGACATATTCAACTGTCATCTTTCCATCATGAGGTTTTCTGAAGAAATACTTCACATAATCTGAATACACCACATTCTTATACATGGCTTGCTCTCCATTAGCAAGAACTTGAGGCAAAGGACCTATGACATCTGAGGGTCTAGGGTTCACAAAAATTGGCACTGAAACCCTAGTTTTGCTTCCATTGGCTGACACACGATGCTCGATACTCTTGTATCGTCCATTACTCATCACTTGGAGTGCATCACCTATATTGATCACTAGAGCACCAGAGATTGGCGACACATGAATCCAGTCGTGGTGGTTTGGTGCTCGAACATGGAGGCCACCGATTTCATCTTGAAGGAGAACAGTTAGGGTTGAGACATCAGAATGTCGCCCTATTGCTACAGTTAGGTCGTGGTTAGGACAAATGGGATAATAGTTGAGGTTGATCCTCTTTGAACCCATAAACAATGCTTCATTTTTCTCATCAATTTCACTCACATTTAGTCTCTTAAGTAACACATTTAAAAGTCGTTTGATCAAGATTTCAGATCTCTTCATGTATTCTAGTGCTTCGTCCCTACAAATAAATGTTCCGCTCTTGTTGAAAAGGAATATCTAATTTAAAATAACAAACCTAAAAATTTCATAAGAATATACTTTATCATCTAAGTGAATCCTATAAAATCAGTTAACCAGAATAATGTTTACACTCATTATATATTTATCTTTAGTTGATATAACATTTCAATGCATCTCCTCATATTAACGAGGATTTTCTTTTATCATAATTCCTTACATCAATAGAGAATAAATGATTCAATTATTAGTTTAATAACAAATGTTTCATTCAAGTTAAATGTTTTTATATTATCAAAATTGATTTTAATATCATCTTAAAAATTATAAAATATCTACTTCAACCTTGTAAAATTCGTATAAGATAAAATTTATACTCACTCTAAAATCAGTTAAATAAAGATAAAATTTATCCTCACGTATTATTATAATATTACCATATATTCAATTTCAACCCAACTTTTTCTAGGTTGTGGAGCATATTGGTTTTAGTTGCATGTGTTTATTGAAAATTATTTTTATACATAGGCTTATATTATTTGACTTTTTTGTTGGATTAGGAAAAACAATTGACTTAAGTTGACTTGATACAGATTCTTTAATAATTTTGAATTAGTTTAACTTATCTATATTAAATCAACTTTAATTTTCAAGTATATATTTTATTTATGTCCAATAATTTCATCCTATTTTATTTTTTATTAGATTTATTTTTATTTAATTTAATAATTTAAACTAATAACATTTTTAAAACAATAAATTAAAATAATAATAATAATAATAATAATAATAATAAGATGAAAATTAAATATAGGATTTACAGATTCAAATTCTTATTCTTATAAAAAGTGAATCATATATATATATATATATATATATATATATATATATATATATAATATATATATATATATATATATATATATGTTGGTTTGAAATTTAATTTTTTACCTGCATGGGGGTGGCCACATTGTTGCAGCCTCATGATCAGAAACATAGAAGAGGCTGAGATAATCCTTCCATTCTAGGGCTTTCTCAGATTCAGGGCTGAAGCTTGAGCCATACCTCACATGTTTTGATGCTGAATTTTCTTTTGAGTACTTTACCTTCTCCTCAGCTTCCATCTCATAAAACCTGTGAGTTGCATCCTTCACCTTTTCCAACACATGGAGGGGCACCCCATGATTGATGACTTGGAAGAAACCCCACTTCTCAGCTGCATCACAGATTTCATCTTCCACTTTTTGGTCATCCCAATTGGACATGTCAATGATGGGAATGGAATCTCCACCCACAACATTCATCATTCTCTCTTCCAAAGGTTGGATGTACTCTCTTGGGAGACTCTTCAGGCCAATTTCAGACAACCCCTTCACTCCATTCCCTTCAACAATCACAAATTCTGTGAGATCTGAGGGCATTGTTGGTGCCATGTTGCAATTGCCAATGTTTCTTCACTTTATTTGGTGCTTGGCAAATTCATGCCATCAACGTACATCTATTTATACACCATTCTCTCCCATTAATTACTCTTTTCTCGTCATAATGACTTGTAAGCTTAGTTTATACACAAACTAATTTATAAAACTTTTCCAAATTTTATATTTAAATTTTAAAAATTTTAGAGTTTCCTCTTATAACCTAGAATCTAAGATATCTAATTCAATTTTGTATAGATGGTAAGATATTAATCTTGGAAAATCAGTTTAATTAGATAAAATTCTATTCCGATTATATCTCTAATTCGTAATCCAGATTTTTTTATCATATGACATCATCTTAAACAGAAAACTCATAATCTCGAAACTCAAAACGATTCTTCATTATTTCAATTTACAAATAAATAAATAAATAGATGTTATTGATAAAATATATAATAACTTGCTTTAATGTTTTAAGTGGCTTACCAACTCAAATGGCATGTTACATTTTGCTAATATAGTACCCAAGAAAACCAGCATGGTTCACGATATTTTTAAGTGTTTTTTGTAGTGAGAGGCATGCAATTCAAGACACACGAGTCACACATAAATTATATAAAAGACTGGGTCTTTTTTACTTTCAGGTATAATTTAAAAAAAAAACTATTAAAATAGATAGGTTTTAAAAGATTACAAGAGTCAAACGATTTACAACTCTTGTGTGATTTTAAAATATCACTTTATTTTCTTAAAATGATATTAACGTCGAATTTTAATTTAAATTAAAAAATAGTAAAATCGCACCTCAGAAGTTTCTTTAATTTTATATTTTTCTATGAAATCCTATTTTAATATGATTTCATTGGTTAAAAAAATCACGATTTATATAAATTAGAACACGACTTTTATTATTTTGAGGGGAAAAAAGTTAAATCATATATATAACTTTAATATTAAAAAATAAATTTTAAATTTTGATTTATTTTCGTATAAATTATATTAAAAATTGTGTTAATCTTGACATTCTTAAAAGTTTATTTTAAATAATGAGAAAAGTTGTTGTGTTAATAACTTTATTTAAATATTGTGTTAACTTGTGATTTTTTTTATGGATGATGTGAACGGAGGGATTGAAAAATGTAAAGAAAAATAATATGAAAAATAAAATTATTTCGATATACTCATAAAGTCTCCTATCATTTAAGAGTCGAGATAAAAAATAGTTTATATATATTATTCTTTTTTAATTGGAGATGTTTTTTAAAGATAAAACTATGACGAACAAAAGTTATAAAACAGACTCATAGCAGACATGACATCGAGACATTCTTGATTAAATTAATTAAAAAATAAAAAAATAAGGGAAAATTTTTCAACATTGAACCAAAGAATATGGAGAAAGTTGTAGTTGATGAGAATGATTGTGAATTATTGGGACGTTCATATCTGAACTAAAAATAAAAAATATCATTGACATTGAAATGAGTGATTGAAAGTAGAGAAAGAAGGGAAAATAGTAAAAATAAAGTTAGGTTAGTACGCAAGGCTAGCAAGTTGTATTTCAAATAATAAGATTGAACTAAAAATTATCTTAAAATTTTTATTAAAAAATGTGTTTTAAATCACTGAGTTTAAAAATAATCTAAACGTTGTGTTAATAACTTTATCCAAAAGCTGTGTTTTAAATCATGAGTATAAATCCATCAAAAGTTCTGTTAATAACTTTATCTAAATCATGTTTAAAAATAATCTAAAAAGTTGCGTTAATAATTTTATTAAAAAGTTGCGATTTAAGTTATTTAAATTATGGAAATTAAGGGATTAAAAAATGAAACAGAAAAAAAAGTGAAAAAATTTACTAAAATAAAAAAAATGAAGAAAATATTTACCAAGTAATAGATAGAAAGAAAGTTATAGTTGATGAAGAAGATTGGGCTCTAACAATGCAAGAGAAACTACACCAATTAACAAGAAATTATATTTGCACATTAATACTCTAAAAAAACCATTGATATTGATATTGAATGAGTATTTAGAAAAAAAAAAAGGAAAAGTAATAAAACCAAAGTTAGATTAGTAGCACAAAGCTATATGCAACAAGTACAGATTTCTCTAATAAAAAAAAAAGAAAAAGAAAAAAAAGTTAGGTTAATGTACACAAAAGATTTTTTATTTTTTATATCTAACTAAGTTCCCTCGATGTAAGAGACGTAAATTTAGGTCGAAGTGGTACATGATGTAAATTTATGTTTAATGTTTAAAAAAATGTCAAAATTTCAATTTAAAAAAAAAAAAAAACCATAGTGTAGGAAGATGAAAACAAAGTTTGGCAATAGATGAAGCACTATCACAATAATGGTGTGGACGGAACAAGGTCACAACAACAATATAGTCTTGATAACAATGAGGAAACACTACAAGAAAAAACACATTTAGCCACCGAAATTAGCGACCGAATTTTTTCGGTCGCAATTAACGACCGATTTAGTGACCGATTTAATTTTGGTCGCAATTAGCGACCGATTTTGCGACCACTTTAATTCGGTTGCAATTAGCAACCAATTTAGCGACCACTTTAATTCGGTTGCAATTAGCGACCGATTTAGTGACCAAGTTAATTCAGTCACAATTTAGCGACCGATTTAGCTACCAAAATATGATTTGGTTTCACTTTTTTATTTAGCGACCGAAATAGCGACCAATATTTTGCGTCGCAAAATTTCGGTCGCTAAATCAGTGGCTATTCCATACTAAAATAAAAAAATCATTTAGCGACTGATTTAGCAACCGAATTACAAATTGAAATAGTGACCGAATTAAAATCGGTTGTTAATGAGAAAATAGCGACCGAATTAAAATCGGTCGCTAATGAATATTAATTTTTTATTATATTTAAATTTATTTTTTTATAAATATACTTTAATTGTTTTAGTATATTTTTTACAATTTATTTTTTAAAAGTAATTTATTTTTTAAAAATAATTTAATTTTTAAAATATACTTTAAAAATAAACTTTGGTCTCAATATTAACAAAATGAATTGTAATAAATCAAATTTATTAAAAATTTAAATTGTAATAAATTAAGACTAGGTGATATTAACTATTCAATATATTGTTTAAGAAAAGTTTAATAACAAATATTCTTTAATTTATTTTTCAATTGAAAATTTCAATTGAAATTAAATTATATTTTAAAATTTATATTAAAAAAATTAAACACATCAAATTATCACATTTTAATTCCTCATTAACTTAATTAATTAAAAAAAATACAATTTTAATCAAATTATTACAATTTTATTTTATAATACTTTATTTTTAATCTAATTTTTAAATTTATTGCTTTATTATTATTAATTACTTATTCATGGTTGTTGTCATATAATTGATATACCAAAACAAAAATTATATCAATATACATTAGATAATAAATATATTATTTAATTAAACTATTTATAAAAATATATTTATCTTTAATTAAAATATTTTTTAGTTTAAGTATACTAAGTAATATTTTTTATTTTTAACATAATTAATAAAAAAGATTAAAAATTTAAAATTAATCTATTTTATAAATACTAAAAATAAACCATATTCAAATAAATGAAAAATATATTTAAATTTATATTCAACATAGTTAAGGTTGTGCCTTTTTAAAATTTTAACTTTTTTATATATTGGATTTTCATTAAAAAATTTCTAAAATTGCATAAGAAAATAGAGATTTAATTATACTTTTTATAAATTTAAGATAATACTAGTTTTTATTTTTATTTTTAAATATTTATTTTAATTTTTTAAAAGAGAGAAACTATAATTTTAGTTTCTAAATACTAAATTTAAAGAATTAAATTTATTATTATTTAATATTTTAATTTTAGTATTAAAAATCTAAATTATATTTTATTAAATTAAAATAATTACAATATATTTTTCTACTTTGAGAATTAAAAATATAATTAAACTAAAACTGAAAATATTATAATACATTTTTGAAGTCTTTTTTATAATATTTTTATCATTATTATATTTTTGGATTAATTATTTTTTTCCTAATTTTTTATAAAGTCAATTTTAATATTTAAAATTATTTAACATTTTGAATTCTGAAACTTTTTCTCTATTAACAAATTTTAAAACATAATATACTAAAAAAGTATTATACATAATTATTTCATCCAAAATTTTAATAACATGATAAGTCATCAAATTCGTATATAAAACAAATTTAATGATGGATTAAAATAGAACAACATTTATAAGAGACTATTTATTTTTATTTATGATGGATCAAAAGTGGAAATACATTTAAATTTATAATTTTATTTATCACTACAAGAAAAAGCATTTTAGCGACCGAAAAAATTGGTCGCTAATCGATTAAGCGATCGAAATGCGTCGTCGTAAAAAACCAAGTCGCTAATGTGTTAGCGACCGATTTTCTGCGACCGAAATTAATATATCAAATTGGTCGCTAAATCGAGTGACAAAGTTAAAAAAATAGCGACCGATTTAAATCGATCGCTAAATCAATGAAAAAGTTAAAAAAATAGCGACCGATTTAAATCGATCGCTAAATCAATAACAAAATTAATTATTTTTATTTATTTACATTTTTAATTATATTTATTATTTATTTCCCCTACCTCTTAATTATATTATATTTTTTAGAAGTTTAACTTATTATTAGGTTTATTGTCATTGTCAGGATTCAAACCCGGTACCTTAGAGTTGGAGGCTGAAACTCCAACCATCTGAGCTACTAGGATTTTTTAATAATAACTTACAAATAAATTATATTTATATACAAATAAATGTATATCCGTATAAATATATAAATATAAAATCTATAAATAAAAATATATTTATATATTTTAATATATATTTAAATATTAATACATTGATATATTTAAATATTTATATATTTATATATTGATATATTTATATCTTTATATTTTTATATATATTTATACCTTTATATTTATATCTTTATATTTTTACATATATTTA